GCTTCTTAGGCAAGTGTTTATTCTATTGAGCTATCTCCCTGGCCCTGAAGTTCTTAAACAACAAGATTTTTTTTTAATTTTTGTTTAACAACTAGATTATATTGTTAAATGTGGTCTATAAATTCTCTATGCAAAATGCTTTGAAATACTTGAAATGTATTACTTGCCCATAATTACTTATGAAAATACATTTTGTTACACTGTAAATCATATTGTCTGCTTTTATTTGAACTCTTAATCAGTACACCTGCTGATCCTCTTTATTGTAAATATTATCTAAATGGAACAATAGTTAGTGGTAGTAAGCCCTGGAAATGAATGTATATTCCCAAATACCAAGACATTTTACAGAAGAGGAAAAAAAATTGAGAAAAAAGGATTATAGTAATTAACAAGGTCTGAAGGTCCCCCACATGTGTGACTTTATGTAACAGGAAATTTAAAATTCAGATTCTGGGAAACACTCCTCAAATTCTAACTCAGTGAGTACAGAATACTATATAAATTAAGGTAAAAAGCATTGTTGATGGTAATTTGCTGTGTAGTTAATTGGAAAATTAGTGAAAAGCCAACTTTTCACTTCATAGAAGAACAAAATGAGGTCCCAGGAGTCAGAGCCCCTGGAACATGTTCCAGATTTGTGCAGTTTAGTTTCCACTCCTTGACTATGTAGTAGCTTAAGTATGTTCAGAAATGCTGAGTCCCTCTCACTGATATGGAAGCCTTTGAAGTTTCTTGAGTCAGTGTTTCAGGTGTTGAGTTAATATGGGAAAGAAAAAATAATAGAAAATTTAACACCATTTACTCTATCTCTCATGTTAAAGTATGAAAACTATCATGTATTTTTATGGAAGGACCTTGATAGACTTATAAATTTGGAGCATTATTATACTTTGAGTAACTCTAAGTTAACAAACCATAATGTTCTCAAGGCCATTCATAAAACCATAGAAGGTGACATGCAGTTTATCCAGAAGGGAATCTGAATGTGTGAGTCAAATAGTTTGATGGGTAGTTTGACTTAATTTCATTCTTCACAACAGTATTGTTATTCCCCTTTATAGGAGAAAAAGAATAAGGTTGCTCTTGAATCCATTGTTGATTTTGGAACTTTGTACGTTATAATGAGAGAACTTTTCACTATCTATTTTCTACAATATGTTCTATATTGAATTACAAAATTAAAAATTGAAAGTAAGATTTACCTTCCATATTAGAATATGAAATATGTGTGTAAACATAATTGGAATTTTAATACATGATTGAAATATGTTTGAAATTTAAAATTTTGGACATTATAAAAACAAAATAATTGGGTGCTACTCTGTAGACTGGCTTAGTGCGAGTACAGAATATTTCTGCTAATCATATTTTTAATTTTACACAAAACAACATGTAGCCTCCTCTTTCTGCCTGATTGCTATCAATAAGCCCTTCTAACACAGTTGTTTTACTACTCTTGTTTAGTGTTGGATGGTTAAATCATTAATTAAATACTAAACCATTAAGTATTTTTAAAAAACTCAATCAAATATTGGCCACATCAAAACTGCCCAAGGTAAGTATGTGTTAACTCTAGTTTGTTCTCTCTTGTCATAGCAAACTAGTGATAAAATTCTGTTGATTCTCACAGCCATTCTTAAAACCCTCTCATTTTTATATATACTATCACAAAAACCACTATATCCATGTCCTGTTTCATACATGGTGTGGGGATTTTTTTAAACATAGGAATGTGATGTCTTACTAATCAGAAGTTCTGCTGAATAAAAATCTACACCTACAACATGAAGCCTTTCATGCACTGATCTTTGTTCAGTCATCTGTTACTACTCTTGTCCTTATGTTTTTTTCTTCTCTGCTATACGTTGCAGCTGCACTGCGCCGCCCAAGGTGGTTAATACCCCTGTGTGTGTATGGTCCCCATTTGTGTGACTGGAAACCCTTGGACTCCACTCTCCAGGTTCAAACGTCGCCTTGTTTTCCCTCCATCAAGCAGGATTAGGAGTTTTGCTTGTGAGCAAGCATTTCACGTAGTGCACTCCATTATCACAGCAGTTACTAAGTGTGGCAGCTACAGATTTTACAAAAGTCTTAAGACTGTGACAAACTGGGTTTCAAAATTTCTTTGGCAGTAATAACTGAAAAAGCTATGTAACAGAACAGATACATTGAAATTTGGACCAGTTTGTGTTTTATCTATAGTAGTTTACTCAGCCAGACTATTTGACCACATCCTTCACTTATTTCTTATGGCAGGAATTTGTCTTAAGTAATGGACTGATAATTTTTTTTAAACCTGCAAAATAGTCTCCCATTTTTGACAAACATCAGACCTATTTTCATGAGTTCTCTGAAATTTACACATTTCAAAATCAACTATCCGATGAAGCAGTCATGGAGGTGAATATGCAATAGGCACTTTCAGAAGCTCATTTTTCTCACAAAACTGATACATATTTCTTCACTTTATTGTTAAGGAAGCTGAGATTTGATTAGTGCGTCCACAATTACAATGCCACTGACTCTTAAGGTTTGTGAAGTCCACACTGAGTCATGTTTGCCATCATTTTTACTAGAATTACACTAACATGTTTTTCCAAAATGAAAATTAATGCATCTGGAATGGGCCACGTTGCTGCTATTGAGCATTTCTGTGATCTCACTTTGCTTGAAAACTGTAACAGTAATTAACATAAACAAACTGCCTTTTAGTGAACATTTCATAGAACAATAAAGGATTGTGAATACTGAAAAGTGGGCTTATGGCCCTGTTGTGTACTTTCTTTATAGAGAGGTGTAATTTTGTCACTGCTTCAAATTCCTGGCCGGAATGCAGAGCCCAGTTTTTACGGTTGTTTTTCTGGCAAAATTCAGCAATGTAAAAGCTGTTATTGAGAGCGTATGTGATAATGCATCATGTCAATATTTGTTTGGCTGAGTAACTTGGGTGTAATTAAATTCACTATTTACAACTGATGTACTGTTTTAGAAATAAACTGTCATTTTTGTTGTCAGTGCTACAAACGTTCTGACAAGTCTTAAATGGAGACACTAGCTTCTCTGATAAATGTATAG